AGCGGGGTTTTAAAAATGGCGGCTCCCCGCTTATGCAAATGAAGCCCGGGAAATTCAAATCCCGGGCTTCATTTGCAAGTACGGTATGCCTACATTACTCCGCTAGTTCAAACTAGCGGGGTAGTGTAGACATACCCTTGGGGAGCAGCTGTACTTGATTTGGCGATTCTGTCTCTTTTCTGGTTTGTTTTATGAGAAGCAGTCCCATTCCAGGCACATCCCATTGTCCTGGCACAACCAAACACTGATCTTGCTTTACGTTATGATGGGAGGAAGCTGTCTTCCAAATTTGGTGGTGCTAGTTCTTACCGTTTAGGAGAAGTTCTTGATCAAATAAACAAACAAATGCTCTAAAATATATGTAGACAATGATGCTACTTGTTAAAAGAAATGGCATTTGTACTTCCAGCCTCTGTGTTTCAAAGTCTTCCAGTTTCAGCCATCTCAACTAAGGTTTATACGTGATGGTCAGCACATCAGCTTTAACCAAGGCACCTGGAAGCATCTGGACCATTGGAGAGTAAAGGCTAAAGAATAAACTACATCTCCTTTTTGGCTTCCTGTCTGGAACTATAACTGGGGGTTTTCATAAAACGAATGATCCCTTTGTGCGGAGGAAAATCTGTAATGTAGTCTGTTTTATTCTGTACATACTCTTGAAGTGGGAGATGTACATACTAGACATTTTCCTTGAATTACTTTCTGCTCTTACCTGCCTTTCTTATTACACATGAGGTGGACGCTGTACCCAGGGCGTTGCTGGCTGCACATGTGTAAATACCAAAATCCTCCTCTGTAACCACCAATATGGTTAAAAGCTGAAAGTTTTTGAGTGTGGCTGAGATCAGTATCCTACTGCTGCTGCGAATGAGCACGCCATCTGTAAGGCAGGAGGGATAAATCATTGAATTCTACCGAGAGAGCTAAAAGTCCCTTCTTTTCTAGGGAGAAGACTCCCCTAAATCTACTCCCCTTATCCATTCCTTGGAATTTAGATACTCAATCATCTTTCTTGGGCTGTAACTCCAAACTAAGGATATAAAATCCCATTTCATTGGTTAACTAGTTAAAAAAATAAGTTAAATGCTCCAGCCCCATCTGGTTAACTGATTGACCATTAACATCCCCACTTCAAACCTTATTATTAAATTGCCCCAAATCCTCAAATGAGCGTTTACGTCACCTCGGAACCAGTCAACGTGCAGCGGGAAATGGGCAGAGGTTTGGCAGGACAGAGACACAGACTGCCCTAGGGCAACATCCTGATCCACGAGTTCTTCTACAAAAACAGGTGCTGGAAGAGAGAGAAAAAGCCACACTGCAGATAGATGAAGACAACTCCAAATGTGAACCACATGCAAGAGACCAGAGAGTGTCTTTAATCAGACTAGCTCCCAAGGAGCTTGGATGGGAACAAACCAAACATGTTCCATATGCTTGTGCTCAATTATGCTGCCCTTCTCTTTCCTAAGCCCCAGCGACCACGCCATGTTGTGGCAGTTCAAAGAGAAGTCCTGTGAACCCTTCCGTCTTTTTCACCATGGGCCGGCCCACACTCTGCGTGGGGATGTTATATAACAAGCAAGCAGCTTAGAAAGACCCAAGAACTTCAGAAGGTAGCACAGATATAGTAGTGATGTGCTGCATACTTTTTCTTTAGTAAGCGTAGCACTAGTGAATAGCACAGATATAGTGCTGCATACTTTTTCTTTAGTAAGCGTAGCACTAGTGATCAGTTCAACTGCTCTGGGAAAGTATTTTAGCACGTAGAGGTGGGTGCTCTCCAAATTAGCTAATGATAAATAGACAGATATGGAGGTTCTCTCTTTCTCCTGTCAGCAGCTATTCCACAGGCAGCAACAGCAAATGTTTCCTCCAGAAATAGTTAATGTGAGTCTTCTGGCTAATCTGGAGGACCAGCTAAAAAAGCCAAGAAGGGTGACTGAAGGTCTAAATGTTCATGAAGTCCAATGGAGGCACTAGAAACACCTGTGTCTGTGCTGATTTAAATCCTGGATGTACCCCTCTCTCACCTTGCCGCTTTCAAAACACAGACAGAAAATTCTCTGAAATAAGTGGTAGAGAGCGTTCCCTTTCTCCACCCCCTGCTGGTCCAACTGGGTTATAGCTGTCCCAGTCCTAGTCCCTGTCTCTGGCCCCTTGCTGCCCCCCCGTGGTCATTCTGCAGTATAACTCTATTCTATCAGACCCCCACCCTTTCAATTTTATGAGATACAATTCTATTCCAGGCACATCCCATTATCCTGGCGCAACCAAACCCTGAGCTTGCTTTAAGATAGGAGAAGAGGAAGTGGCATACCAAATTTAGTGGTCCTAGCTCTTGCCATTTAGGAGGAGTCCTTAAACAGACTCATGGATGGACGGACTGACAAACAGATGCACATTTCTAAAATATATCGAGATATATATACTGCATATAGTAAGACGATCAAGTCGTCCCTTAAACTTCACTTTTAATATCCTGAAGCCCCATTTAGAGACTCTTTTTCTGTTATGTCACTTCTCTGCCTATTTCAAAGAATTTAATAGAAGAAGCCAGTCTACTAAATCAATTCTCAATGCCTATTTCAAATAATTTAATAGAAGAAGCCAGTCTACTAAATCAATGACATTGTAACAGCTGCATATCATTACAGTCTATTATCGGTGGTTCATGTCATTAGTTTAGCAGTAAAATGCTACAGGCTTCTTAATGAATTGCCCTTTAATACCAAAGGCCAGGGCAAGTTTAATAAAAAGGTAGGATATTAAACTGTAGTAGGGCAGATAATCAGTGGCAGAAAGACACATTGTATGGCATGACTTAGCTACAGGAAAATTGAGAGCATGGACAGATTCTATTCTCCAGATCCTGGGTTCATTGATATGGGTATAAATCTGGATTAATTCCACTGAGTTTAGTGTAGTAAATTCAGATTTACCACAATGTCTGTTAAGTTCAGAATTAAGCCCCATGTTTTATATTCAGGGCTAGGAGAAATATCAAATGTTATACTGAAATAAAACACTTAGCCACAGAAGACGGAGGGAACTCCACTAGTCAGGACAGCATGATCCTACTCCTAATTTGTTTGTGGAACTCCTTGCCAGAGGATGTTGTGAAGACCTGGACTTTAACAGGGTTCAAAAAAGAGCTAGAGACATTCATGGAAGTTAAGTCCATCAATGGCTATTAGCCAGGATGGGTAGGAATGGTGTCCCTCGCCTCAGTTTGTCAGCGGCTGGAAATGGATGACAGAGGAGGGTCACTTTATGATTCCCTGTTCTGTTCACTCCCTCTAGGGCATCTGGCATTGGCAACAGTTGGCAGACAGGACACTGGGCTAGATGGATCTTTGGTTTGATCCATTCTGGCTGCTCTTATGTTCGTATGTATGTTTTGCCACTGGGATCTGGATATGCAGGATTACCCCTCTAAGCAAGTGGCGTGGCTGATGCTTATTTCATGCTTAAACCCAGCTTAAAGCTTTTGAATTGCATCTGCACTTGATTATTGCACACAAGTCACATGGATAAACTGATGAATATAAGAAGCGTGGAGGGGAAAGCGAAGCGAGACGGGTGAACTGAGCCTATTGATGCTGTTAGGCCCATGTACATGCAGTAGGAGATTTTTACCTTCTTTTTGCTCTGGCTCGGGGGCTGGCTTTCCTTTTAGGATTCTTGAAATATGGGCAACGGATGCTTTTACTTTCTTCTTCAGGGTCTGCTCTACTGACTGCTCCATTGAGTGTGATCTGCCATAGGGTTTTGCTTTGCTATGTGTAGAGCTTTTCTGCTTACCACCTGAGTGCTTTCGGAAGCCATACGTTGGCTGGGATTCGGCTGTCACATGGCCCTTAGCACCTTTCCGCATTCGTGGCTCAGAACTGTTTTCCAACCTCAGAAGGGGCTGCTCTGCATCTTCAGACATGTCCAAAAGGTTTTCTCTGGTTTCCCCTGTCGTGGCATCAGGTGCATAATCTGAAGGAGATTCAATGTCCTCCGTAGTGTACAGTCTTTTATATGGATGCAAATGTCCTTTGGTCACAGAAGGTAATTTTATCTTTTCAGTGAAGGGCATAAATCTTTTACCGGTTGGTTTGGGTGAGGGCTTCTTGACGTTCATAAATTCAAATGGAAAATAGACAATATCGTAGAGATCTGATAGGTTCAAATACGCAGGCTCTACCTCGGATATATCAAATTTCGAAGTCCGACTTTCAACATGGGGCATCTCTTCCGAGAGGTCTTTAATTTTCACTAAGGAAACTTCAGAGCATTTGTCCGGTTCTTTGTGATCAGACACATGACTAGATCTTTTCCCGAAACCTGAATGATCAGGCTGGGAAATGCTTGCTGTGCTGGAACTAGTGCTTCTGATCACTAAATCTCCCAGATGTTCACAGGCATGAGAAGCCGCCTTTTCCTCTTTGGTGATTAGACTCGACAGGGCCAGCGTACTTGACTCACCTTCCACTGCAGGAAATGGTGCTGCTGATTCCGTGACATCAGCTGGGTAAATGCCCTCTTCTCTTTTATTCTGTGGTGCAAAATGAGTGGACTTTCCAGCTGCTGTGTGGAACATCTCTTGTGGAAGGGAGAAGAGCTTTTCACATCCCACTGGAGTAGAAGCAGACTCTGCCAAAACATTCAGATCCTCAGACAGACCAACCATCTCTTCAACCAAGTCCTCCAGAACAGCAGACTGTGCTTTGTTGTACACAGAAGACTCCAGCTGGTTTTCATCCTCACTGAGTGAAGCCAGCGGTGTCTCTAGAATAGTTAGGCTTTCGCTCTCTAAGTCCTCAGACTTCTCTTCGCCACACACCAAATGTTCTCGAGGTGGCTGTTCCGGGCTGCCGCTCTCACAGACCGGAAAGGGGGCAGTTTTTCGTTGTGGGATTGTGAGAATAAATAAGCTTTCACCTTGAAGAACAGCCGACTCCACCTTAATGTAAACCCGCCTTTCACCCTCACCGTCTGACGCTGCGGCATGTTCTGGTGGTGGTGTTAGAATCCTTGCACGTTTGTGATCCGGAGCAGAGGCGTCTGTGCCCAAGTCCTCAGAAGGCTTCTGATGTAAACGTTCCTGGTTTTCACCTGGGCAGACTGTAAGTGGAGCTGTTTCTGGTTGTGGAGCTGTTAAAATAACTGGGCGTTCACCCAGGCTGGCGGGAATGTGGGGAGTGTCTAGGATAACTGGGCTTCCATCCTCTGCAGCACTGTGAATGGAAGGCTTGGGCGGTGGACATACGCATTCTCCTCTCTCACTCTGCGGGGCTGATATCGGGGCTCCTTCCAATTCGAAAATAGTCAAACCAGAGCTTTCGCTTGGCAGAAGTGTAAACTCTGGCTTTGGTTTCACACTTAGCTGTGCCTCACGTTCCCACGTGTGCGCTGACAGTGGGGCTGTGTCCGATTGCTGTGCAATTAGAATCAGGCTTTCGCCTTCCAGAGCAGCTGGCTCAACGTCCATGTCAATGGAAGGCTTTATCTTTTGATGTAAATGCCCCTCACTTTCACCCCAGCAGGATGGCTCTGGGGCTTCCTGTGGTTGTTGGGCAGCTAGGCCTGGGCATCCTTTGTCACCACACTGTGCAGAAGGGGCTTGCTGTGGTACCGTACAATCCTGCCTGTCTGTCTTCGAGTCCTCCTCCATCGACTGCTCCTCAGGATGAACCTCGCCAGAGTCAACAGATGTGCTGTGCTGGGGAACTACTCCCGAATAACTCCCCTGTGAAGTTAGATCAAAGTCTTCTTCCAGAATGTCATCTTCTTCCACTAAACGTGTGGCTCTTGGTCTGTAGTCATCCAGGGAACGGCTTCTGTTGGACACCTGGAAGGTGGGGCGTGGCGGTTTCCTAGCGGTATCAAAGGAAGCTGATTTGGTCAGAGGGCCTGTCGCGCTTTCTCTGAGTTTTCCATAGTCTTCATCACCAGACAGTCCTTCTTCTTCCTCCTCTTTCAATTCAAACTGTTCCAGCAGGGGTTCCCGGAGGCCACTCAGGGGTACCTTTAAATACCCAGCTTTCCGGAAAGCCCTCCTTTTTCTGTCAAGGTGCCTTCTGTAGTCTCTGCCCGGCGAGACAGGGACGCGGGGAGGAGCCTCAGATGCTTGGCTGTAGAACGTGCTTTTAATGACACTCTGCCTGGGGACACACACAGGAGATTTCTCTGTTCCATCTCCAGCCTTTATGACTTTGTCTTTGTCAGGGAATAATGTGCCTGTTTTTTCTTGCTGCGCTGCCAAGTCTGATGTGTCTAAGGAGACTGCCTTTGCCAAGGAGGGCTGCTCGGCAGCTTTCTCTTGGGACTGGTCTGTTCTTAAATCTTTGAGTGCTGAGCTGATCTCGGCTTTCCGAGCAAAGGCATCTGCCATTTGTACGTCGCCTTCTGTCGGTGATGTCTCACCCGGCTCCCTTTTCACTAAAGCATATTTCCGTCTCATGGGTTTTACTGGGGGCACCAAGACCTTTGGATGTTTCTCTCCCGCCGCCGAAGTCGGAGGGTCTTGAGAACTAGGCGCATCAAACACAGACAAGTGCAGTTCTGGTGCGGAGCCAAAGTGCTTTTTTTTGGGGAAGGAGGAATTCTCATTGTCCGAAGAGGAGCCGGTGGTAGTGGAGGAGCTGCTTTCTTCCACCAGGTGTCGGGAGATGCCGAGCGATGTGTTTTTGTGTGTTCTCTGGAGGATCTCCGGAATGGATCTCATTACCAAGATAGATTTATAGCACATGAGGGAACGCTGGAAAAGAAAAAAACCCAACAACATAACCAAAAAGGAACAGACTGAGGAGAGTGGTATAAAC